GAGGGGTCCATACGGATGCCTTCAGCGGAGACAATGTGGCCGAGGTATTCGACGCTCGAAGCGGCAAACGTAAATTTGCTGAGCTTGGCGTAGAATTTCTGTTGTCGGAGGATCGAGAGGACTTGGCGAATATGCTGGAGGTGGGACTTGAAGGTGGGGCTAAAGATGAGGATATCGTCAAGATACACGACGACACAGACTTCGAGGAGGTCACAGAAGATGTGATTCATGGTGGACTGGAATGTGGCGGGGGCATTGGTGAGTCCGAAAGGCATTACGAGGAACTCATAGTGCCCGAACTGAGAGCGGAATGCCGTCTTGTGGGTGTCCTCGCGGATACGGATCTGGTGGAAGCCACTACGAAGGTCAATCTTGGTGAAATATTTGGCTCCACGAAGTCGATCAAGGGGCTCGGAGATCCGAGGTAAGGGGTACTTGTTCTTGATCGTGATCCGGTTCAAGGCACAGTAGTTTGTGCACATGCGGAGTTCCGAAGTTCCACCTTTCTTTACAAAAAGGCAGCTAGTACCGAAGGGAGATGAACTTGGCTTAATGAACCCTTTTTTAAGGAGCTTATTGAGTTGCCGCTTCATTTCTCCGGCTTTGGGGAACGAGAGTTGGTATGGAGGGCGGCAAGGTGGAGAATGTCCGGGCTCCAAATCGATGGTATGGGATACGCCACGATCCGGAGGTAATCCGACAGGCAGGGACTCAGGGAAGACGTCTTTGAACTTGTCGAGGATAGAGGTGAGGGCGGGGTCAGAGGGGGGGGCTTGATCGGTTTTGTCCGTTGGGAGTAAGTCCTCGGGGCTTTCGCGGTCAAGGACAAGGCAATAGTAGGCGGAGTTGGGGTTCATGCGGGCCATGTGGAGGAATTGATGCGAGGTGACGAAGCCTTGGGAGGTCGGATATGGGAGATAGGGAATGTTGATGATTGTGTCGGGGGGGTTGGTGAGGCTGAAGAAGTTGGGGTGGAATGCGTATGGCATGTAGCGGTCCAGCCATGGTGTTCCTAAGACATTGTCACACATCAAATGCATGACATCAAATGAGACCTGACTGCGGAGGGTTCCTACTGTCATGGTGGTCTCGGGAACCGTGCGGTCCACTACGACGGCGGTGTCTTTGTCCCCTAGACGGATCGTAATCGGGGAATCGTAACCGGTAGAGGTAAGACCGGCTTTCCGGACACATGCGTCGGTGATGAAGTTACCGGTGGCTCCTATGTCGAGGAGGGCCCGAAACTTAGTGGTAGACGCACGAAGGGTGGCGGCGAGTGGAAGTGGAGGCGGTAGCAGCGGATGTGATAGCGGCAGCGGCGGCGGCGGCAGCGGCTTGGGAGGTCTTGGTTTGGCATGGTGGTATGTGGAGATGGGGGGGACAATTCCTATTTACAAGAATAGTGCGTCATCAAGTGATTTAGCAATGAAGATAGCAGAGAATCGTAGAGCAAGAATTAATTTTGAATAAATTAATTTGAATTTATTCGAAATTAATTCGAGAGTGTATTTTTCTATAAATACGAAAGTGAAATTTTTAGGAATTTCCAAATGAAAAGAAATATTAATTCCGAGAAAAATAAATTTTGACGAAATTTATTCGGATTTACGTTCGGGGAAATTTTATAATTTCGAAAAGGGGTGATTAATTCCGTGTAAAAGAGATTAAGTCAGTTGTGAATTAATCGAGTTTAGTCGAAATTAATTAAGGAGTTCAGAGAAAAAAAAAAGAAGTACTTTTGAATAAAAAGAGAATTTTGAAAAAGAATTGCGAAAAATATTTTTTTGAATTTCAAGAAAAATTGCAAAGAGGAATCTTAGGAATTAAAATATATGAGGAAATTTAATTAATTAAAATTATTTTCGAATTTTAAAAAAGAGATGCTGAGAAAGAATGCTTAATCCTGCGTATTTTTGAAAATTTCGAAAAAGAAAATATTTTTGGGAAAGAAATGTCGAGATAGATAGTTGATTAAGTATTTTCGAATTTTCAGAAATTTTAGAATGAATTCTAGAATAATAATAATAATAATAAATAAATAAAGGAATAAATGAGTTTTGATGTAAATCGAGGGCGGAGCGATCCTATCTACGATTGAATGGGTGGTAGCGTGGTAGGTAGGGTATGGGTAGATCGATGATGATGATGATAATGATGATAGGGGGGGAACATGGGGGAAAAGTCGCACAGGCGGGGGATAAGCGGACTCGGGGGATCGCGCGCGGGTTGTGCATGGGAGGGAGGAAGTCGGGGAAGCGGGAATCATGGGAAATCGGGGGAGTCGGGG